TATCCCAAGGATTTCGAATCACTGTATTTTTTCATTTTTGTTTCCACATAAGTTTTGATCTTTTTTTTGATTTCTCAGTTGACTCATTCATTGTTTAGTAACATGTTATTTTATTTCCATGTATTTGCTCTTTCCAGAGTTTTTCTTATGGTTGATTTCTAGTTTCTTAGTATTATGGTCAGAAAAGACGCATGGTATGAATTCAATCTTTTTGAGTTTGTTGAGACTTGTTTTGTGACCTAAAATGTGATGTATTCTAGAGAATGCTCCATGTGCACTTGAAAAGAATATGTATTCTACTGTTTTAGGATGGAATGTTCCTAATATATCTGTTAAATTTATCTGGACCAGTATATCATTCAAAGTTTCCTTGATTTTCTCTTTGGATGGTATGTTCAATGATTTAAGTGGGAAGTCCCCTACTATTATTGTGTTACTATCATTTAGTTCCTTTATACTTGTTATTAACTGTTTATGTATTTAGGTGCTCCTATGTTGAGTGCATAAATATGTACAATTATCATATCCTCTTGTTTGTCCCTTTTATTATCATATAGTGTTTTTCTTTCTCTTATTTATCCTTGTTTTAGTCTACTTTGTCTAATATAAGTATTATTACTCTTTCTTTTGACATCCATTTACAAGGTAAATGTCTCTCCATCTTCTCACTTTCAATCTGTTGGTGTCTTTAGGGCTAAATGAATCTGCTGTAGGCAGCAGATAAATGGGTCTTTTTTTAAAAATTAATTCTGTCATCCTATGTCTTCTGATTGAAATGTTTAGTCCACTTACATTCAAAGTAATTATTGATAGTTACATATTTATTGCCATTTTGTTACTTGTTTTGTGACTGTGTCTTTAGTTTCTCTCTAATCCTTTCTTCTCTTGTTCTCTCTCATGGTTTGCTGATTTTCTTTAGTGATACACTTGGGATTCCTTTCTCTTTATTCTTCGTTTATCTATTACTGGTTTTGAATTTGTGTTTATCATTAGGTTTGTATAACATATCCATTTCCTTCCCCAGATTAAGGGAAGTTATTATTTCTTCAAAAAATTTTTCTGCCCCCTTTTTCTCTCTCTTCTTTTTCTGGGATCCCTTCAGTGTGAATGTTATTATGTTTGATATAGTCACTGAATTCCCTAAGACTATTCTCAATTTGCATAAATTTTTCTTCTCTCATTTGTGCAGCTTGGTTACTTTCCAAAACTCTGTCTTCTGTATCATTAATTTGTCCCTCTATTTCATCTATCCTGTTATTTATTCCATCAAGTGGATTTTAAATTTCATTCATTGTGTTTTTCATCTCTAATTGGTTCTTTTTTTGTCCTTTTAAGGGTTTCCCTGATGTCTTCTCCTCTTTTCTCAAGTCTACTAAGTATCTTTATGATCAATACTTTATTTTTATTTTTTTTAAAATTTTTATTTATTTATGATAGTCACAGAGAGAGGGAGAGAGAGAGGCAGAGACACAGGCAGAGGGAGAAGCAGGCTCCATGCACCGGGAGCCTGATGTGGGATTCGATCCCGGGTCTCCAGGATCGCGCCCTGGGCCAAAGGCAGGCGCCAAACCGCTGCGCCACCCAGGGATCCCATGATCAATACTTTAAATTCTCTATTGGGCATATTACTTACATTCATTTCATGTAGCTCTCTGGCAGTGGTTTTGTCCTATTCTTTCACTTGGGACATATTTCTCTGTCTCATTTTGTTTATCTCTCTGTGTCTCTTTCTGTGTTAGGAAAGTCAGCTATACAAACTGCTCTTGAAGGTAATGCTTTATGTCTAAGAAGTCCTGTAGTGCCCGGCAGTGCAGCGCTCCCTGTTCCCCGGGACCTGCTGCTTCAGAGGGTGTCTCCTATGTATGTTGCATGTGTCCTATTGTGTTCTTGCCAGTTTTCCCTTCAGTTCAGTTTTCTGCAGTGGCTTTTTGCCCACTATGGGCTGTTTGGTCCCCAGCAGAGGTGGGGTGTACTGGTCTGTCTGCTAAGTAAGACCTGGAGCCTCTACTGTTGGGACTGGATCAGCTTAACCAGATATGCCCAGAGTGCCTGGGTAGGGCATGTACTTTTAAGAAGATGTACCTCAGACTTTTGTAGCACCTGCTACCACACCTGGTACAAGGACTGATGCCCTGCCAGATGTGTGGGTTGGGTGTCAAGGTGTTGGTGAGGGTTGTGCAAGTCTTCTGAGGGATACACTATACTGCTAGGACTGAGGCAGTATGACTGGGGAGGGCAGATCCAATGCAGCACAGTAGACAAGGCTTGGTTTAAGCAAGTTAGGTAGGGAGTGTCAGTGCTGCACTGCTTCCCAAAGGTGGCTGTGTCTTTAAGCTGAGGTGCAGGGCAGAGAAATGCAGGTGCCAGCTCCTTTGTTCTAAGAGGTCTCTCTGAGATCTCTATCTCTCTTGACAAGCTCTGTGATGAGTAAATCACTGTCCCTTCCATGTGTCCCAGGTAGTTGTCAAATTGCTGATTCTATGCTGTACCTGCTCAGGCTGTTTGGTGTGCTGTCTCTTTAAGAGTGGGGGCTCCACTTCCTAAGGTCCTCCAGGCGCTCCCAGAACTGAGCCTGCAGATTTTTAGAATTCTAGGCTTTAAGTCTCCTTGGTTCTAAGAACTCACAAAATTCAACCCCTCTTGCTTTCAAAGCCAGATGTTATGTGAGTTCATCTTTCCCTTGTAGGCTTCCTTGCATGATTATGTTCAGAAACAGCTATAGTCTGTCCAGAGACGGCCATAGTCTGTTTAGGTCTCAAATCACATCTTATCTTCTTTGATGTGGCCTCTTCTCTACCTTTGCTCGTGCAGTTTACCCTGACAGTCTTCAGGTCATTTTCTGGATTATGTATGCTGGTGTGAATGTTATCTAGTTGTACTCATGGGACAAGGTAAGCCAGGGTCTTCATACTCCACCACTTTCACCTCTCTCCCCTCATGTGCATATTTTTTTAAACGTAACACTATTACATACTTAATAGACTACAGTATAGTCTAAACATAACTTTTATATGCACTGGGAAATTCAAAAATTCATTTGATTCACTTTACTGTGATTTTCACTTTATTATGGCAGCCTGGAATAGAATCCATAGTATGCCTGTACTTATTGAATTAGATGATCTAGCTAAGGAGTCCAGGCAGTATTAATGGTACCACTTACTTCTAGTTGGCTATAGTAAAACCTGAGAGAAGAGATAAAAAAAAAAAGAACTGCTAAAAATAAAGAGAGAAGATCTCTTGGGTTTAAAAAGAAAAATGTCTCTCATTCCTAGCTTCTCTAAAGTTTTCAAATTAAGAAAGAACTTCAAAGAGATGAAACCCAAGATGGGCTAGAAAATTCTTTGTTAATTCCTCTGAAGAAAACTGAGGCAGTGCCTTAGAGAACTGTCTAGCCAGACAAAAGGCTTCCTAGGGCTTCTAAGAAACTTAAGGGAGCTTAAAGGCTTATTTTGTAGACTTGTGGGTATTAGTTTTGTCTAAAGAAATGGATGAAAAGTGGATTCATAAGAAAACTACAAATATTTTTAAGTAATTGTATCATCTTGGTCTAAATAGGATAGAGACAATATCAAATGAAAAGAGGCCTATGGACCCTTAGCTTCTATAGAAGAGAAAACAGGCTAAAAAAACTACTCTTCTGCAAATAAGGGCTACATTTTACAGAAAGAAAGCTGATTCAGAAGGCAATATGAAAAACCCAGAATTACTCCATCAAGAATCATTTCCAGAAAGTGAAATTAATTCCTTATCAAAGAAATGGCAACATCTTCCCAGCTGGATTCAGAACTGCTATGGCCCAGTGGCTCCTGCATAGCTTCCATTTTCGCCCTTTTTCAGTGGAAGGGCCTAGAGTAGTTTTCCTAGGCCTATGCACTGCCCTATAATAGGTGTGTGGGGGACAGTTACCTGCTACCCTGTCTCTTTAATTCACTTGTCTTCATACCAAAAAAGACTGTACTTGAGGAACATACCCAAGAAACCTCATCTGTACTTGAACTTGACTCAGATACTTAAACCTCAGACCCTCAACATAGCCTGATTCTTTTTTTTTTAACATGAGCCTGATTCTGTAATGTGACAGAGTCTGGAAGTTTCAGGGGAAGGAGCTGAGCACATTTTTGCACATAAGAGAGAAGTAAATTCTTATTGCCAGGATTGTGACAGATTGTATTTTCCCAAATTTCCATAGATAGACTTCTTGACCTTTGCCTCTCTATTAAGAGATGTAATCTATTTTCTCCTCTTTGAACCTAGGTGGGACTTTGTGACTAACTTAAAGTGCCAGACAGGAAAGTTAAGAGAGCCTTTAGAGGATTCCAATCCCTAGACTTCATGCCATAACAGCTAATACAAAAAGTGGAACAAAAACAAATTATCTCCAGTAGTCTCTAACCAAACTGCAGATTCACAAAGAAATACAAGTCGTCAAGGTTTGATCTGAAAGGTGCTTTTCAGAACTGCTGAAACATGTGGAATATTAAAAAGATAAAACAACCAATGGAAAAATGGAAGTAATTATTAACTCCAGAAAAAGCAAAAAAATTATACCATAAAGAAAATATAATCACGACCAAGTACTTATTTCAGCAATGGGGAATATTTACAGAAATATTTACAGAATTTAAGTAATGAAAATACCAAAAATGAAGTTAAGTAAAAATCATGATATCAATCACAGAGAGAATGAGGGGAAACAAACATTTATGAAAGATAAAGATAACTAAAACCTCATCAATAATAATAGAAGGCCAATATATAATATCTAAAATGAAAGAACCAAGATATATGTGTGTGAAGGCAAACATTGGAAAAGCAGCTACAAGAAGAAAACAAAGTTGCCTCTGAAAAGCATGAATGTATCTGCGTGAAGGTGGGAATGTGGAACAAAGAGAACTGCCTTTTAATGTCATCTGAAAATTTAAACTATATTATGATTATTTTGATAAGAGTAAGTAAAATAAATATATGCAAACTTTTTTTGGTATAAACATACTTACTATGGAAATGCTGTTGAAGAAGGAGCTAAAACTGGAGGATTCTTCCAAAACTCATCCAACAGACTCTGAATAATTTTTCCAAGATCTGAGTGCATTGTAAACTAAAAGTAACAGTAATACAGCATGATCAAAATCACTTTCAGAATAAGTCTTATTAGGATAATATCATTCTAAAGCTTATCTTAAATCTCCTTTGGCACAGCAAGAATCAAATGAAAAACAAAGGATATTGTGTCAAATGACCAGATTAGTAATCTACAACTGACAATATTTTCCCATTGGCTCAATGCCACAAATCAGTTAAAAATCTATTTAACCAGTAATGGAGCTAAAATATTTCCACATTTTTAAAAATAATTTGAAGGTTCAAAGGTAAATACTCAGAGTACATTTAAGTTATAGTCCTTCAAATTAATCAATCATTGATGTATCCTAAGAACTTTGAGGCATATTTGAATTTTATCCCCTCCTAACAACTATGGAAAATCTACTGTGAACCAAAGTTCTAAGATCAACAGGTCCTCATCACAGAAAAACAAATAAAACAAATAACCTTCAAATCAGTATTATCTATTAGATATATTGACCTTTTTTGGGGGGAAATTACTTAGACCACATGAGATTTTAAATGCATTTTAAATTTCTAAAATATGCAGTAGTAAAGTAATACACCTGTTATACTACTCTGAAATAAATTATACTATATACATACATTGTTTACTAATGGAGAGGTAACATATACTCCTTGTTTATCCATTAAGTGATGTTGTATTGGTGGGTAAACACTGATGACTGGTTTTTCCTGAGGAAACTGTGGAGGGAGTAATCTGTTAAAAGTAGAACAGATGAAAAAAAGATAAATGTTATGTTATATAGTCCTAATTCTAAAATAAAGTTAAATTTTCATGCTTTCATTTGGATTAATTATTCACAGTAATAAGTTGTATTATGGTTGTTGATTGAAAATACACAAAATGATATACTTGAGCAACAAAATTATAAAGCAATTCAATACAGTAAAATCTTCTTAATGTAAAATATGGATACCCTGGGTTACAAGATATTATTCACATATGTCAATTAATTGCTTTCAAACATAATATACCAAGTTATGCAAAATCTCAGATAAAATCAGGTATCAGGAGAACCACAGGAACCAATTTGACTATTAGACCACAGGTTCTGGCCATATAATTTTCTTGTGGTTTTCCTACTTATGAAATGCTGCCAGGAATTATTACACCATCTATTGAATTTTTAAAGAATGAGTAAAAAAGCAAAAGCAAAAGCACTATGATTAAAACAGTGCAGCTGTCATTATGCCTTGGTGTTATAAGGGTATCTTCTAATTGTCCCCACTAACACAATTCTCCCAAGTCTGAGGTCCATCACAAGGTTTCAATCAAAGAACAATCAATTCTCAATACCAAAACAAACAACAACAACAAAAAGGTGAAAATCTTAACCTTTAAGAACCACCACAAATTAAAAATTCAATATTGAAGTCCTAAATGGATTTTACTGGATATGAAACTCTTGATTTCTAAATGTCTCTAAACTCAGAAGAATATGCCCCTTTAAAACTATCTCTCTGTTCCCCTGTTGGATCAGAAAATGGTTTGTATGGCAGCACTGTCAAGAAGAAAACTGGGTCCTTTTTGGCTTCTCCTACTTAGCCCTTCCTAGAGCATTTGGTAGAGATAAAACTACTTAATGTATATAGTTAAAGATGTTAAACCAGTCTGGTAAGGACAATGAATGGCCTTAGAGCCCAACAAATCTGGGTTTGTACCCTAACTATGTTACTATCCGTGTGTGTAATTTGCCCAATTTGCAGGGCTGCTGTGAGGATTCAAAAACTCCTATATCAAGATAACACAGCATAATGCATGGCATTATTATACATTCATACTTTCATTCACTTATTCAACTAGGATTTAATAAGGCCTTCTCTGTGCAGGCATTATGCTATACAATGAGAATATGAAGATGAAGAAGCCATGGTTCCTATCTTCAAGTTAGGTGCTTCTTACCTCAACCAAACACCTACTCTAGCACCCAGCCACCTCCTGCAATCTGAGGCAATAACTTTAAATACTTTCATACTAAAGATTAATAATTATACTTACAGTTAAATGAGTACTTTAGCAATCATTTTGTCCCATTTTTCCTCTTAAATAACCTCATGACTGTAATTTTTAACTGAATTATTTTTCTTTAAATAGTAGACCAAATTCAGCCTTGAACTTTCTGGTTGATATAGTCTATCTGTTGCTGAAGACTAGAATATTTTCACTTGTTTCTGATATAGAGGTGGATATATCTCTTAACAGTTTTCCATATGCAACTTCTTTGATTGTTTCTCATCATTTGTGGATTTTCTCTTTCAGTCTACCTCCGGCTAAGATTTTAGTGCATATCAATAAAAACAATGACAGTATTATTATTATTACATCTTTTTAGTGCACTTCTTCTTGAATAGTTTCTTTCTTACAACAATATACTTTACAATGATGTCTTTAAAAATTTGTTTCACAAAACTGTGTGACTTTAGTAAGTTATAGTTTCTAGAAAAGGAATATTTTAAATAAGTTCACTTTAAACCATTTACTTCTAATAACTAAGAAAATAGGAAAAGATTTTTAAAAGTACTAATACATAAAAATACAGGATACAATTCTACTCACATATTAATGTTAATTGTCAGGTTGTTTACGGTGAATGGCAATCTGTATTCCACATCTTTCTGTATTTCAGCTATACTGTAGGAGAAAATTTGAGAGAAAAATTCACCTGAAGGTATAAAACCATTAATGTTAAAAAGAACACCAAATGTTTTTAGACCCTACTAAAACTATTAATTTTAATCACTGAATCTAGCCATATAACTTGTATCTTGAGGGAAAAATGATCATAGATTTATCAAATAAGCAGGCAATAATATTCTGAGATATCCAAGTGTGTGTGTGTGTGTGTGCGTGTGTGTGTGTGTGTGTGTGTGGAGGGTATAGTAGAATGGGGACAGATGCTGAGGTAAAGTGGCAAAGAAAAACTCTCATACTAATGCTAGACTGATTTATTATCACTTTAATTCATCATTAGTAGATGTAATTGTGATCCCTCTGGTTAATACAAGTCAGCAAGAAATCTGGGTTCTGATTATAATTCTGCCATTACCCAGCTATATAGACAGCTCGGGAAGTCTGGGTCTTAATAGCTTAAACTTAAAAGCCTGGATGAGATGTCTCCTATAGTCTTATGACAGACTGCTGGCTGCTCTCCAAAAACAAGTAACCTCCCTTTCTCTCTAAGTAAGAAAAGTCTGATTTTACTCTGAATAGCAATGTCCTAGCCTTTTTTGCAGCTAGTTGTTCTTACAAACTTAAGTTTTAGCCAAAAAGATAGATACAGAGAGGTTGTAGGATAGAATTACCATGAAAACATCTAAAAGAGTCCATTTGCACCTCCTGCCTCTACCTGATAGCCACATTTCTAACAAGCCATCCTGGGCCATGAGTGACCCTGAAAATGGAAGTCATACACGAGGGAGAGCTAAGCAGAAAGAAAGAAGTAGCTTGGGTCTTCAATGACTATGGAACTGTCAAACCGAATTTCTTTTTTGTGTGAGAAAAAAAAATTCTATCTTGTTTAAGTCAGTATTTTGGGAGTCTTTGCTAGTAGCAGCTGAATATAAGCCAACTAATATAATTTCCTTATACTTTAACATTCTATATTTAGAGTCTAATTTAGTTTATTGTTAATTGCAGGGATACATTACTACAATTATAATCTAGCAGCCAAATCTTTGGGGGACTCACTCCAAATTCTAACGAATATTCACAATATTTCCAAAGAGAAAAATGTTAAGTAGTATTAATGAGTTAAGGTTGAGAAGAACCTTAATATTCAAAAAGACATGAAGCTTTTTTAAGCATGCATACCTTTGGAAGATCTAGGGTTTACATAATTTTTTGTTCTTTTGGTTGCTTCAACTAATGCTCCGTATTGACATCCCATAGAATAGGGTTAGGATTGAGATGAAGAAACAGCTGAGAACAGACTCAAAAATATATTCAATATTAGCACTTCCATAGTTTTATAGAAGTTTCTCTTTGGGGTTTAGTTTTGGACTAGAATACTGACAACCTGCTCAGTTGTAGGAACACCATATAATCAATTCAATGGGTTAAGTTTTCTATTCTTTTATATTATTTTTAGGACTCTATGGTGTAACTGCTTCAAGGCAATACCGGGCACAAAAGCATCCATCAGTTCTAAGGTAAGCAGAACATATTCATTTAAAAGTATGACCTCCTAAGTAGGTTTCCTGGGTTCAACTCTCCCTCTAACTATTACTTATGTGATCATATGCCAACTACTTAACCTAAGGGACGACCCAGGTCGCTCAGCAGTTTAGCACCGCCTTAAACCCAGGGTGTGGTCCTGGAAACCCGGGATCCAGTCTACTCCCATGTCAGGCTCCTTGCATGGAGCTTGCTTCTCCCTCTGCCTGTGTCTCTGTCTCTGCATCTCTCTCTCTCTCTCTCTCTCTCTCTCTCTCATGAATAAATAAAAAATCTTATAAAAAAACAAAACCCAAAAAACTACTTAACCTAAGCCTTATCTCTCAAATGGAAAATAGGAATGTCAGTTGTTAGATTAAATCAGATAATACCTCCACAAAATACCATAATTGTTCAATACATGTTCAATTGTTCAATAATGAATTAGCTATTATCAAATATGTATTTTGAACATGCATCTAAGTTGGAGCCTTTCTAAATCTGTAGTACCAAAGTTTTAACTCAGTTTTTCAGTGTATTTTTATATAAAACAAATTAAAGTGAATTTGACTAAAATAATTTTTACTTAAGCCATTGGTTAGAAGTGTTTTCCTTGTCTCCACAATCAGAGTGTTGACATTAAGTTTTGACAAGTTTCCTTCACAAATGAAGTATAATAAATAAATGAAAGCAATTCTTGTAATATTAGTGAGAGGTGTAACATCATTAACAAATTCCAATACAAGTTGTTCATGGCAATTGCTGGACTTCAGGACATGCCACTGCAAAATATGGCACTTCAGCATCTTGAATATTTTCAGCTGAAGGAGTTTAAGAGGAGAAGCAGGAAGGTTACTCTAACCTTCTTGTCTCACCTCTTACTCTTTCCCTGAAACTGATCATGAAATCCTCATGTGAAATATGCTCTCCTCATACCAAGAGGAAAGTAGCATCCTCCACCTCAAAAGACAGAGGGACACTAAGAATAGTAACAAGCCTTGCTAAGCCGCCTGCCCCCTCGTTGACTACAATCACCTCACATTCCTTTACCCATTGTATTCCTCCATGACTGTGCACTTCTTAGAATTCTGTACACTTTTGATGAAACCCAGCATTAAAAAACTCAGGTCTAACTATTTCTCTGGGTTTTTCCTTCCTTATTAAGTCATCCATCTCATTTAAACTTACATTAAATAAGTTTGTAGGTCTTTCCTCCTGTTAATCTGTCAGTTTAATTTTCAGGCCCACCAGGGATCTTAAGAGGGTTGAGGAAAACGTTTTCCTCTTCTACACTAGCTGCATTAGACAAAATGGCAGATATCTGTTTACTTAATTAAAACAAGAACCATCCCCTGAATATTCACAAATATGATTTCAAATTTTTTACTATTTTAAATAACTTTAAAAAAGATTTTATTTAGGGATGCCTGGGTGGCTCAGCAGTTTAGCGCCGCCTTCGGCCCAGGACATGATCCTGGGGACCCGGGATCAAGTCCCACATTGGGCTCCCTGCATGGAGCCTGTTTCTCCCCCTGCCTGTGTCTCTGCCTCTCTGCCTCTCCGTGTCATTCATTAATAAATAAATAAATAAATAAATAAATAAATAAATAAATAAATAAATAAAATAATAAAATCTTAAAAACAATAAAAAATAAATAAAAGATTTTATTTATTCATGAGACAGACTGAGAGAGGTAGAGACAGAGAGAGGCAGAGACAGACGGAGAGAAAGAAGCAGGCTCCCAGTGGGGAGCCCGATGTGGGACTCAATCCCAGAACCCTGGGATCATGACCTGAGCCAAAGACAGATGTTCAACCACCGAGCCACCTTTAAATAACTTTTTAAAAACTTATTCTAGGGGTGCCTGGGTAGCTCAGGTAAACATCTGACTCAATTTTGGCTCAGGTCATGATCCTAGGGTTATGGGATCAAGACCTACATTGGGCTCTGCTGGAGATTCTCTCTCCCTCTGCTCCCCCACCATAAATAAATAAACTTATCTAAAAATGATTCATTCCCATTGGTGGCCGTGGGGGAGAACAAGCAAAGAGAATATAAAAATCACTCAGGAAGTCGTATAGCCAAGATAACCTCTAACACATTAGTATATAACCTAATCTTTCTATATTTATACCTTTATGTAAAACAAAATACAATTGTATGTCTACACAATTTTGTAACTTGCTCTTTTCTGAATCAGTAAATGCTATTTTAAATTATCTTTTTAAAATGGTTGTAAATAATGTTTTACTATATGGTTTAACCTATCCTCTATTAATTACTGAGATTATTTCCAATTTTTACTATTACAAATTACAGTTTGATAAAAATTTTTTGCATCCTTATCTTTGAGCTGACAGGTAGCAGTATTTTGTGTTTTTTTTTTTTGTTTTTTTTTTTTTGTAGCAGTATTTTGGATGTTAAGTACACACACATATTTTAAAGTAATACTGTAATCACACTATAAGAGCAAATTTGAACGATCTTCCATTAATACTATTATGTTTCAGTTTCTCTGAGAAGTGGATTACTATGGTTTTGCCTCATCAACTCTAAATTGGTTTGGAATTAAAGAAAGCTGAAAATTCTGTGTTAGAATGTGTAATTGGCATTTTCATTTCTTCCATGGTCCTTGAAACTATAAACAGACCTTGAGATGCAATAGAGGTACTAGTTATGGTTAAAAGACTCCTTTTGTAGAATCATTTATCTCTGATGTTATTACATTTTGTGTAAACTTGTATTTCATAAGAAAGACTTTGTTCAAGTACAGCTACCAAATATACACCATCTTAAAGAAAATACAGAAATGTGTGGTCTCTGAAGAGGGACACAGGATGAAGAAAAATATCAAGTGACTAAAAAAGATCAAGATACTGAGAGCATGCTTTTTCCAGTGTTGGGTAAATGGAGGAATGTTTATAGCTAAACCTTGCAAATAAGGGATTCGAATGCTTTGATAAAGATGGCAGATCAAGATAAGACAACTTCCCTTTCCCAACTAAATCTCCAGGAAGTATTACAAAAGTCTAAACAACCAAATCTGTAATAGTGCTGAGAAGCAAAGAGTAAGCAGACAAGAAGTTCTGAGGAATTTCTAAGATATTAAAAAAAGGGATTAGATTTAAGGAAAAGAATGATAAAGAAACAAGAAAAAGAAAGCAAATACAGGAACTAATGACAACCCAAAACATAAGATCAATGTAAAGTAGGAGTTGTTTAAAGGTCCTCCAAGCTCTTGAAGGAAGTCAATGCATATCAAGAGTGTAGAGGGCCACACAGAAGCATTTTTCAGGGTAAGGAATGGGAAGACATGTGCAACAGCAGGTAGCAATCTTCTCTTTTCCCTGCTTGTTCCAACCAACAGATAGCACTATTATTTGTACCCGTAAGAACTGTACTCAAAAGTAGCAGTGCCTTAGGTAGGAAGGCTTCCATGCAGCCTGTTTCCAGAAGACAGCTATCAGCTTGTCCCATA